GGACATTCCCTACCATTATTGATGCTTTCACCATATTTCCATTCAAAGTAATTGCATTTTGTGCAATTGTAGAACAACCTACCTTTATTCTTTCCGACCTCTGTTGTGACCAAACATCTTTGAATACCATTTGAACAAGCAGGGCGTTTTATCTTGTTAGGGCATTCATTAAGGAAATGTGTTGAACTCCTGCAACTATGGCATATACCATAGTTTGTCAACATATCTATCCTGCAAAATGAATCAAACAACAAACATCATGACACCCAAGCAACCCTAGGCATCCGGTTTGATTTTTGGGGAAAAAAAAATAAAAACTTCATATTTCTACGCACTTGAAGACGAAGAACGGACGAAAGAAGAGTGGTCTTCAATACTCCAAACGCCCGAAGAGCGTACCAAGGAAGATAGCTTTTGATTCAGTGCAAAGGAAGAACGGCTGGAGAGTTTTTTTATTCGATGAACGTACGAAGTCTGGTTTGTAATCGATGATGAAGGGTTCTAAACGAAAAGGGTGTGAATTTACAAGTGTAACCCCGATTAAACCGAAGGATAAACGGAGTTTGTAATTTTTATAACGGCGGGGGTGACATTTACAATTATTCTGACAACGCGGGGGTTACATTTAATAAAGTTGAAATGCGGGTCGGGGATTTCAATGTGGTGGATAATTGGGGGACAAAATGTGCGATTTTCCCTTAAAAGTAAGTATAAAATGAATGTATAGTACAGAAATAATAAAAAGGAAAATAATTTGAATAGAACATTAAAACGAAAACATAATTAATGCGCTCACGGTCATCAAGAGAACATGTTTGAACAAAATCAAACTCTAGAAAATAAGTGACAATACAGAGACGGTAAGTAGGCATTAAATAGATAAAAAGTTCTAATGAAAGTTTGATAACAGAGCAGGTAGCATAAAACAATATACATATAGTTCACTTTTTTAATGATGAAATTACCTTCTTATTTGAATCAATTTACATTCACCCAACCTCACTGCACGAACATCCTAATCACAATGATCATTAAGGCAAGCAATATGCAACTCTTTTGTATTTGAACTTCTTGTCTTATATTGAAAAAGATATGAAATATCCTACATCTTCAAATGGTAATCTAATTATTTCTTTTCCTTGTATATATAGACTGGCAATATGTATAGGATGAAATTGAGAGATTAATTTGATTTCCTGAATATCAAGAAAACAAGCTAAATCAAATTGAAGATTGATATGGATATCTTCAATGTAGGGAGATACACGTGAAGAAATTTTATTGGTAAGAGCAGAAGTTGGCGGAGGAAATGAATTTGTATTTTTGGATTATACTGAAATGTCATCATTGGTAGCTTGCGGATTGAAAGACATGACTTCATCTGTAGGGGATGAAATAGCAACACATGACAAAAACATCTTCTAGCTTAGTTGATCAAATTCATCACATTTGGAAACGTTCAAAGCAATTACATGAAGAGAAGTCGAAATTAGTAATGATTAAAATTAGCATCCCCATTTAGTATAATTAGCATTACGAGAATATTGGTATTAAAGCAGTACTAAGTAAAATATAATATGAAATAGTAAACAAACAGTAGAAAAAAAATAACACTCTGTAACCAAGCATTCCAGCCCAGCTGGTTGTGAGGTTACCGTGCCTAGTGAGAGATCTCGAGTTCGAAACTTGCTAGGCACATAAGGATTCAAAACTCAATGGACTGAGTTTCAGCCCTGATTACTCCAAGCCCCCCCCCCCAGACCCCCCTGGAGTAAAAAAAAGAATGATTTATTAATTACATGAAAACAATTCATAAAGTATGCTAAAAACAAAGCAGTCAATTTATGAAGTATAATTCATGAAATGAAATAATGAAGTAATCATCAAAGGTTCTACTTACAAACTGGATATATAAATAATCCTCATTAGTTTTGAATAATTTGTCAACTGAGAAACTCATAAGCAACTAAGAATAATATACACAAAGAATTACAATAGCAAAATCACAAATAAATTAAATAATTCACATATTGAGATGAAATAAGAGGATATGAGATCATTGGTGCAGAGGGAGTTCAAAGTCCACCCAACAATAATGAAGCTACGAACATTATGAAGGTGTTTTGGTTAAGAAGTTCATAAACAACTAAGAGGAAGATACGATGGGTTTTAAAAAGTATAAACACAAAGGAAATTAATGACAAACATGGAACTTACAACAAGAAATAGTTGCAAAAACAATCCATGGAGGATTTGAAGAAACGATTGTTTTTCAGCGATTTATTAGTGGATTTGTAGAATTGTAGATACTGAGAGAGTATGGAGATGACACAACATTGTTGTAGAAGGATTTGAAGAGCCCTCAGCTACGATGAATGCAAATTACAAAGGAATCGTTGCAAGTAGAATTCAAATTCTCGAAGCAAATCGAACGCAAATGATGAAGAAGTTGGTACATCGTCGAAATTTGCGCATTGTTCATATAGGCTGGTTTGGGTCGTTAATCTAGACGGGAATTAGGTCAGTAATAGGCAGCTAAGGATAATTTAGGTAACTTATAATTAAGTTTTCCGAAATAGAACAACTATAGATCTACGGAAGTAAATTTACTAACAAAATCCTATTTTCGTCAAATAAATATTAAATAGTCTTACACTGGACAATTTTCTCTAAAGGTATATGCGGAGTTTATATTTAACGAGAGGGACAATTCTGTACTTTAATAAAAAAAGGTAATTAAAGATCATTGTTTACCAAAATTTAATTAAAACCACTTATAGTTACAAACTTACAAACACCGTCTATTTTTACTATAATCATTTTTCAATAATCTCTTAAATAAATAAGAGTATGTAAATGAAATAATTACATAAATATGACGCAAATAAAGATGATTTACAAAAATATGACTAGTTACTAGAGTAGTAATGAAATCATAGTAATTCATGTTCAAATTTTGAACTTAAGTTACCACAGTACTACGTTATAATAATGAACAATCATAATTATGTAAATAAGTATTATTTTAGTAATATTCTTAAATAGTGTGTATTGTGGACAAAGAACGTGGGATCCAAGTGGGGTGTGTCATTTGGGTTTTAGTCAACCACTACAGACCATCTCATCTGTACCAAACAAACAACAGTGATGGCATCCACTCGAGACACTAGGCCACCACCACTCTCCCACCCACCCAAAACCTAACCTACTTTCCTCCTCCGATTCCGATCGATATAACCCACAAACAAACTCGGAGGAGGAGGAAGAAGAAGATACGATTCATTCTTTCCGGCGGTTCCCTATTTCTAACGAACGTGATCACCCGCAGACAGCAGCGTTGGGTTATGTCGTCCACCACTGACGCAGCAGCGGAAGCCGCCATCGACGTTCTGGCGGTAGCGCAAGAGAAGCCTTGCCGGAAATTCCCCGCGCCCTGTTGGACGCAAGAGGAGACCTTGGCCCTGATCGAGGCCTACAGGGAGAGGTGGTACGCGCTCCGACGCGGATACCTCCGTACCGCGGACTGGGACTCTGTGGCGGAGGCCGTGTTCAACCGCTGTCCAGATGCGTCTCCCGCCAAGACTTCCGCTCAGTGCCGGCACAAGATGGAGAAGCTCCGCCAGCGTTACCGTGCCGAGAAGCAGCGATCCCTCTCATACCCTGCCGGGACCTTCTTTTCCAATTGGTTCTTCTTCGAGAATATGGATGCCATGGAGAACGGAACGCAGGTTTCAGCTGCTGCTAGATCCAACCCCAATCAAGACGAACACCACATGGTTCAGGGCTTCGGTTTAAAAACCTTGATCGATCAGAACTTGGTCAAACTAAAGCTCAACAATCCTATGGAGGATCCAAACCCCAATAATTATGCCTCTCGAGTCCCAAATGGTTACGGGTCGCATTTGGATGTTGCAAGCAGCAAGAAACAGCAAGTTGAAGCTGCTGCTGCTCTTCCTTTAGAAAAGGCATTCCCCATCAAAACCCGGTTCAATGCTATTCCACTCCCTGTTGGATTCAAACCAAAGAGGAGCGATTTCAATAATTGTGAGATGAAGAATGGTTTTGATAGAGGAGAAGGGCGGCATCTGAATTTGACAGAGTATGAGGACAGAATTGATCCAAGTGAGGAATATCTGATGAGGTTGTTGGAACAAAGAAATTCAGGCCATGCAAGTAGGGGAAATTCAAGTTTTCAGAGATCAGCAGCGGGCACAGGCGGGGGAGTGAAACGGGAGAGGGAATCGAGGAGCAGTAGTGATCAGATAGCTTTGTCGATCCGGTTCTTGGCGGAAGGATTCATCAAGATAGAGAACATGAAAATGGAGATGGCAAAGGAGATGGAGCAGATGAGGATGGAAAGAGAGATGAAGCAGAGTGAGATGATACTTGAATCCCAGAAGCAGATGCTGGATGTTTTTGGGAAGGTGTTGCATGAGATGAATAACAACAACAAAAAGGCCAGGACGGCATCCCCTCCCCCTCCTGGAGAAGAATCATAGACGCCTTTATGAATCTTAGTAACTAGCCAACTAGTATTTTTAGTAACAACTTATTACAGAGGGAGGGAGACTCAGGGAGTATATGAATGAATGAATTGAGTTATAGGTGTGCGCATCATGAGTTTAGTAGCCATGACAGCCCCGAGCATGTAACATATAGTATAAAGATGGTTGTTTTCTTTGTTTGTGTGGTGATTCCCAGCAGCAGGCTCATTCGTTGTTGCTCGAGCTTTCTTTGGATTTGATTTCTTTGTGTATATAGTGCACGCATCTTGAATATTCTATCTCATCTTTTAACTGTTGTTAATGTCTGTGTATTGGGGAGTTGGTTGGTCATCCCATTCCCAAGGTGGTGTGGCCTGATACCAACCAATGGCAGATCAACTCTGCATCTTACTGTACCTAAGCTTCCCAAATCTTTTCTTCCCAACAACTATAGCATATTTTTTTTAAAAAAGAACCACTTCGTCAGCATTTTTTTATAATAAGAATCATTTAATAGTCGGCTCCATCCAGTTTTGTCACCAACAAAAGTTCCACAAGTCATCCTGAACAACTTCTCACTGATTAACTCAAGGAGATATATTTAAGGGAAAATGGAAACTAATAATTCAACCTTTTAGCGGTCTTCTTTTAATAGTCCGACCTTTTCGTTATTCATGAATAATCGAATCTTTGCACCTCATCTTCATTCATTGGTCCCCAACCGGTTGATGACCTGCTATTCCGAGTTATTTTCTCATCTCTGCAAACTATTATACCATAAATTCCACCTTTCACAAAGATAATATTTTGCAAATATAAGAAAATAACTTGGAATAGCAGGTCATCAACCGGTCAGGGATTATTCATGAATAACGAAAATGTGGGACTATTAAAAGAAGACCGCTAAAAGGTTGGATTATTAGTTTCCATTTTCCCTATATTTAATTGGTCGATGGAAAGCAATTGTCAGTACCCTAGTCCTTCACTAAAACAGTTGTATCAATGATGAGATTGAATCATTGAAATATAAAATGTCCATAAACGAACGATCCAAACAAGCAGAAAAAAGATTCAATTAGCTGCATGTTCTTTGAATCATTGGATCCAACGCTTGTGTGTAACCACCGCTATTGACTGTATGAATCTCTCACAAATTCAGCCCTTCATACAAAAGAGCAAATTGGAAAACATGTAACAACTACTAAACGAATCCTACCTGGTAGTTGCTTATGAACAACAAATATTTACACATTGAAATCCATATATGCAACAAAGGCACACTATCCCATACCTCTAAAACAAGGGATTCCTATTTACGTCTTTATACAACAAGTAGCGTGTGCGAGTCTTTCCAAGAGCTGCATACCTGCAAAAACCAATGGTGCAAAGTAGTAGGGCTCACATGGATTGGGTGATGGGTAAATTGAAAGTAAACTTCCATTCAGTTCAGATATATCTGTTTGATGAAAAACTTATAAATCAACCCAAATTAACACTACATTTTATTGCTTGGAGGTGTATGGGCATGGAGTTGGCAACATATTGAAGGAGGGTATGTCTACCAGCCACAGATAAGAGATGATTTCCAAAGCATGATTTTAGATCTAATGTTGCTGACGGGTACTCAAGTAAGAGATTAGTGGGGTGCGAGATTAAAACTTGCAATATCCTTGACAGTGTCACTATTGGCCTTATCAGGAAGGATGAAGGAACTCTTTTACTTGTTTATAGCCTCAACAAAGACTTCATATATGTTTCAACCACCAAGTCTATAATCCTCTTTATTGAGTTTTTTTTATCATCAGCAAAGATAATTATATTATCAGCAGACCAAGGTGAGAGGTGTTCACAAGACCACACAGTCATTCATTAAGTAATTACAAAAAAAGTTTTTTTTTTCTTCTCGAAACACAGTGATACAGAGTAACGGGTAAAATGGAAGAAGTGACTATTAATATATCTCTATTTATTAGTTCTAAACAAGAAATAAGCATATGATTATGTATTTCTATATTTTCTACTTGTTTGACTGAATAGGTTTCATCTAACGCTTAATAATTCAACAGATTCAACAACTTCAACCAAATAACCCTCTTACCGAAGAGGCAAATTTGGGGGAGTAAGGGGGTTGCCAGGCCTGCTTCACACCTCACCCCAGTTTGATCATATTTATTTTTTACTATGAAAGCTTATATGAATGCATTGTTATTTTCAATTACCACTTCAACCTGCCCACACAGGTTGTCGAATTTAGGGGAGTGATGGATCCACACCTAAATGTTGAACACCCAGTTGGACATCATAAATATTTATTGAAAAAATTTAAAACAAATCACATCACACTTACCACTGGGGAACAAACGGCGCCATCCAGATGGCATCACCGGCTTCGACAGGATACCTGTCATTGTCAGCCAAATGCAAAGACTGTATCATCAGAACAATAAACTACATTACAAGTTCTCCGGAGGTCATAAATATTACACTCCTTATTAATTAAAACTCACAAGGGGTATATTAAAAAACAACTAATAGGGGTGGAAACAGGTCATGTCTGGTATCTACTAAAGGCTTAATTTTTGTTTTAGCCTAGCTTGTTTGGATGGCTTACCTAAAACATGTTAACAAAACCTGCTAGCAAAATATATTAATAGGTAAATTTCAACATTTATGATATTAACAGGTCTAGTCACAATTTGCGAGGTCACACAGTATAACAAATAGCATTTTTGTTTGTCCACATAGAGACTGAGGTTGACTGTTCATTCATTTATTGATGATTGGCAAAGTGGTATAAGCAGAAAACTTTAATGAATGAATCTTTGTTTATGACATACATTTATGTATATTTCACAAAGTACATACAAATAGACTGACATGTCAGTCTAAACAGGCTTCAATATGTGTCCCCTGACATGGCCTATTTAAGTAAACGAGCCTTTAAAAAGCCGAAATCTTATTTATTTAGTAAAGAGGCTGGACCAAAACAGGCCTCAAGCCCCTTACAGGCAGCCTGGCCTATTCTCACTCCTAACTCTAAGAAGTTGAACTGCGGATTTCTTGGTCCATCACATTCATGCATTTACGATTCATGTGACAGTCTTTATACTCTTGAAAGGTGTTCTATTTGCTCGCAGTTCCCGTTTGATACCGGATAAAGCAAATCTTGATTAATAGCAGATTGAACAGCTGTTTTAAAGCATTTTTTCAACACCAACTATATAAATGAACTATTAGCTGGAGAAGTTAGGCTGATCAATACTCTTGTCTAACAAAATAAGAATTGAATTATGAAATATATAATTACCCAAATGTGGTATGCTAAATAAACTAAAGGGGAATAATACTGTGGTATATGCCAAGTCTACAGGTGGTTCTTGTCCATACATCATTTAATTTAGCATCGCCTTTTATTAATACAGGTGGTTCTTGTCCATATAAAGCTTGGTAAGGGGCAGTTTTATGTGAAGCACGGAAATTGGTATTATATCAATATTCTGCCCAAGGAAGCCACTTAAGCCACTGCTTGGGTTTGCTCCCAGTAGTACATCTCAAATAGGTTTCCGCACACATATTCACCGTCTCATTCTGCCCATCAGTTTGAGGGTGATAAGTTGTGCTACACCTGAGTTTAGTCTCGGCTAATCGAAATAATTCAGAGAAGAATGTAGCAAGAGAAATGTTGCCTCTGTCTGATACTATGGATTTAGGAAATCCATGTAATCTGACCATGTCCTGTATAAAAATATCTGCAACACCTTTAGTCGTGTATGGATGAGATAGGGCATTGAAATGAGCAAACTTGGTGACTATCCACTACCATTAATATAGTGTCTTTGCCCATTGCCCCGGGCAGTCCACCCACAAAATCCATGCTTATGCCAGTCCATATTTGGGTAGGAATGGGAAAAGGTTGGAGGAATCCTGAAGGTTTCAAAGCCTAATACTTGTTTCTCTGACAAACTACACATTTTCTTACAAAATTCTGTACTTCACTTCTCATCCATTCCCAATAGAATACACTAGCTATTCTTTTCAAGGTTCTGAGATTACTTGAGTGCCCCCCCCCCCCCCCCCCCCATGGCAGAATCATGGAACTCCTGTAGAATGGAAGTAATTCTGGCAGAGTTCTTAGGTATCACCAATCTGCCCCTATAGTATAGTAGCCCATTTCTGAGTGTAAAGCCTGGATGAGAATCAGGCTGAGGCTGGTCAAGAGTTTTTCCTCTAGAGGACTAGAAATATGGGAAATTCTGATACCACCATCAGCGAGGTACTGGGAAGGGAGAGGCACCAGGAGAAAGCCGAATTCCAGGATTGGTTCCTATCTCCCCACCTTGAGGACAAGCTGGATTCCCAGGGGAGGGGTATTGATAGACACCCGAGTGAAGCTGCTAGTACTAATAATAATAATAAGCATTACGGGAAGATCTATAGTAGGAAAAAGGAAGTATAACAATTAGTTAGTTGCTAAGGTGTAATTTTGATTTGTATTCTGAATAGAATATATAGTGGGGAAAGGGGAGTTAGTAAGGAGGCTGTTTGTTAGTTAGAACTGGACTGGGAAGATTGAGACGGACTGTCTCTCTCTTTGGGCTACGGCTGAACTTGTATACACCATTAATGAAAGCTTGAATTGTTCTTGAATTCTCTTCCATAATTTCTGTAATTCCTACCTATCCGTGTGAGTTCTATCAGCCTGGAATGTAGAAGGGGCATTTGTGAGTCCAAAAGGCATCACAACATATTGATAGTGTCTCTCATGGGTTCTGATAGCAGTCTTGTGAATATCTGACTCCTTATTCTTATTTGATGATATTCTGATTTGAGATCCAACTTAGAAAAAATCTAAGCCTTTCTCAATTCATCCAACAGCTCTTCAATCACAGGTAATCTTATTAGGGATAGTAATCTTATTTAATGCTCTATAATCTCCACAGAATCTCCAACGTCCATCCTTCTTAACTAGGATAACAGGATTACTGTAAGGGTTGTTGCTAGGTCTAATGATTCCTGTACCCAGTAAATCCTTTGCTAACCTCTTAATTTCATTCTTTTGGTAGTGAGGGTATTAAGGCCTTATCATGGGAATAGAGTCTCCTTCCTTGATGTTGAAGGCATAATCACACTCTCTGCTAGGAGGTAGTCCTTGGGGTGTCTGAAGTACTGAGAGGAATTCAGTAAGGATCTCCCCCAACTTCTGATCTGGTTGGTTATTCTTTTCCAGGTTTTCTGTGTACTCTTGCCAGTAAAAGTAATAACCTTCTCATGGATTTTGCAGGTCCTTCACCAGAGTTTTCCATGAAGCTTGATACTGCTAAGATTAGGATCTCCCTGTACTTTCCTCTCCAGCTCCCCTTCCCACCACTTAATTGTCAACCTGCTGAAATTGACTTCCACATTTCCTAGGCTGGCCAACCATTCCACATCAATCCCAGATCAGATCTCCCTAACTCTGACAAGTAGAAATCCTGGGTAACCATCAATTCCTGCACCCATATCTGTATTCCCTAACATATCCCATTGTTGGTTATGATGTCTCCATTTCCCATCTCCACCTGGAATCCTGTTATCCTTCTATAAGACAAATTCAGTTCTATAAATTTTTGGGATACAAAGTTATTGGTAGCCCCAGAATCAATCAGGATTATAACTGCTCTGCTTTTCTCCTGATCTTTCAACTGCATGTCCCCTCATTTTGAAAGTGTTAGGTGTTGTAAGGTCCTCTTTACTCAAGATGGATAATTGCAGTTGGCTAACTTCCCTTTCTGCCTCAGATTGTGATACTTCTTCTTCTTCTCCATCCAAGGATTCCAGTAAGACAAACTGATAATGTTTCATCTTACAAATGTGCTCCTTGTTCCATTTATCTCCACATTTGAAACACAGCCCTTTGCTACTCCTGTCTTGCAATTCAGATTGACTCATCCTCTGGCCTCCCTTCCAAGACTTCCTTTTTCCTTGAGTTTCTTCTGCTTTAGGATCTGATGCACCCTTCTCCTGAGGATATGTCTTAATAGAATTAGATCTTCCTTTGTTCACATCTGTCCAGGAATGAAACTTGGGCATATTCCCTCATTTTTCCTTCCAGATTCTTTAATCTTCTTCTCTGTTTCTCTCAATCCTCAAGGCAGAATTCTCCTGTTCCACTAAAATAGCTCTGTCCATGAAATCAGTTAAATTGTGGGAATGGTACAGCTTATGCTCGGCTCAGACCTCCTCCTTGAGTCCATTCAGGAAAATGCCCTTTAGCATTTCACCATGTCTGTCTCCCGGGGGCTACCACTAACTCAACCTGTTCCCTGTACTCCATGACAGTACCTATTTGTTTCACACTAAGCATTGGACCTAAAGTATTCAGAACCAGCTCAGGTTGAAACCTTTTGATCAATGCCTCCTTGAATGACACCCAGTTGTGATCAGTAGTCGTTTAATTTTGCGTTCTAGCATACCCCATGTTCATCGTAGACTCCTGACGGAAGGATGAGGCCTGCAAACTGTCTGCTCGCGATGAGCCCTGGCTTTCAGAATGGCGTTGATGTCTAGATGTCCTAGATCGTCCTCTAGATCACTGGTGACCTTGTTGAAGCAATAAGTTCCACATCTCATCCACTACAATTCTCATCTCAGCCATATTTTGTTTGACATTTCCATCTTATTTTCCATTTGCGAACGTGAGAAAATCATTCACTGCTCCAGCGATCAACGATGCTATAATACCAAATGATAGGTAAAAGTATGGATATTAAAATCATGGGAAAAAAATGGATCAAAGAAGCAAATGTAAGCTCTTGGGTCTCAGTATACGATCAGAAAAAATAGGAAGAAGACAGAATATGTCATTCCAGAGTGCCTTGCTCTCCAAGTTCTAACCAACAACCACAATGCCTCTCCTATTCTGATCCTTTTATTCCCTCTCCTAGTGTACACTTCAGAAAAATCCCTATTGGGATTGATAACAAAAGTATTTAGAGTCCTATCACACTCCAATTCTTACCCAAACTGGTTCAGAATGTTTACTAGACAAAACTACATATAAAGGTGAAAGCCATTTCCTGTCCACCAAATGACCAGTAGTAGTTGTACATTAAATAGAACCACAACTCATCAACCCAATAAAGTATTTATATCTGAAACAATAATGCTTACCAGCTATCACCTAATCGGTATATACCCTGCCCCTCCAAAAGCAACAAACCATGCTGATTATAGTGTACCTCCTGCCATTTAACTCGCCATAAACATGTTGCTCCCATTAAAGATACTAATAATGATCTCTTGAAATTAGCATAAGAAATAGTATATGATGTAGTCCCTTGACAATACATCATTAATCATTTTGGTCTTTCACTCTTTGTTGGACTCAATTTAGTCCTCGACGGTAAAATATGGATCCAATTTAGTCATCATACATATTTGGTTGTAAATATCAAGAGGTTTTGACACTTTTGGTACTCTATTTTGATTATTTCCACTTTTAGTCCTTCGACTATTATGCGGAAAACACTTTTGGTACCCGTCTTTGAAAATTTTCCACATTTAGTCCTTCGACTTGCATAAAAGTGACACGTTTGGTCCTTCAACTATTATCAGTGACAATTTTGGTCATTCATCTATTGTGGCAAAATCATAGTGAAAGGACTAAATATGTCAATTTGATAATGCTCAGGAACTAAATGTAGGGAGTTTTGAAGTTGAGGACTATAAGTGACTCTCGCACAATAGATGAAGGACTAAAAAGGAAAAATTAAAAGTCGAGTACCAAAAGTGTCACTGACATAATAATCTGGAACTAAAAGTGGCAAAAACTCTAAATAAGAACTAAAGTTGGAGCATTTGACCATTAACTATGTAACCAGGGCCCAGTTTAGTCATCAGTGCATGGAAGTATCCTTCTTAATCAATGTGAAATATGCAAAAGGACTAAATTGGATATTAATTGCATAGTCTAGAACCAAATTAATAGCAAAATGAAGTTGAGGACCAAACTAGTAACCCAAATTGGATACTCGTATTATTATCTCTAAGCATGATAACCCAACACACAGGAATAAGCATGAGAAAAGCATACTTTTACATTCAGGAATTCCCCTGGTTGAAAATCCATGATCTTGCAGGAAGAAAAAAAATGAAAAAGACAAAAAGTGAATAAAACATGAAATATAAATGGGGGCATAATCAAGACATTTCCCTGAATAATGTAAATGATTCTAGAGAGAGGTACTCACATGAACATTGAAGTCATAATCTAAAGATGCGGGAAGAAGTTTTCTCAGTTCAAAGACCTGAAAAAGTTATAGAACAAAAAGAAGGATTATTACGATAAAAACAAAACTTTTAATTTGATTACTTGAATCCCTGCTTCAATTAGTTTTAATAATATATCTAGACAATATGGAGTGAAAGACTTACAGGGTTGTTGGGGGTCGAGACTGGGACAAAAGAATATTATTAATTAAAAGTAATGCCTCAAAAAATGCCTTTTTTAAAAAGTGTTAATTTCAAGTTTCAACTTTTACGGCACTGGGGTAAATGAAAATGATGAAAATGATGAAGGAATTTTTAAATATAAGAGTGCATTTTAACCCAACTCACAGTGAGCCCATCTCACAAAGTCTTGGGTTCCCTTTGCTTCCTCGGAAATAATAGAAACCACAAAGTAACCATTTCAGGTCAAGACGAGAAGTCATTTTCCGCCAAAATGTATGTAGTTAGGTAAATATACTTCCAGTACCAACCACAAGAAAATCTGAAAACATTTGCCCATGTAAACAACAGAGCCTTGGGTCAAATTTTACATGTCATTTACTATCTAAGTATCTAATACAAATATATGCCAGCTAAAAGGAATATTTTTAGAGAGCAACAGTGTACAAGAACAAATTTACCTCGCCGGGGGTTTCAAGGAGGGGTTGCCGGTCTGTTGAACCAATAATCTCTCTGCTTGCATAATTTTCTATCTTGGCATATCTAAAAGAAGGGCATGACTTGAGCAAGCAGTGAAACGGGGTAGAAATGCAATTTACACAAAAGAACCAAGGGAACATGCATTATAAGAAGTGCATGTAGCATTATAAATGAAGTGGAAACAAATGTACGAAATACTCACTTTGTCCCTTAAAACTTTGTCAACTTTCCTTTTTTGCTTGTCCCACTAACTTTGCCATTTTCCCTTTCAAGTAAAGAATTTGTGGTTTCAGTTAATTCTCTCTTCTCTGCACAAACCTCAACTACACAGTTTTTACTTTATTAATCCCCGTGCCGGTCAAACTCGGTTAAGTTTTAAGGGACAGAGAGAGTAATACTCAATGAGCATTTGTGATGTGGATGTAGAAAGTGCAAAAACCTTCTCTCCAGTACAACAAGGGTAGCAGATACATCCGACTTGACAGTGTGTTCCAGACCAGGAGGCAAATATGCATAAGAGTCCACCTTCATTTTATAGTTAAAGGCATTAGAAGCTCCATAGAATTCAACCATCATTACCACCACCACCACCACCATTGCACCAACACCAACACCTTAACCCAACTAGTCGTGGTTCTGTGGTTGGTGGCGTATCAAGATCAAGTGTGTTACCCATGTGCAGCCGCTGAGTGTGCTGCCTAATTATTTATGCTATAGGTAGATATTATTAAATGAAGTAAAAATATAATATTTCGTAACCGATCAATACTTATGATTATAATTTTTATAATGACATAGCATGCTTAATATATATGTGTGTGTACATAAATTTACACACACACACACACATATATATATATATATAGAGAGAGAGAGAGAGATCTATAATTGTAGCTTAAAGTATTCAATGGTACACCTCGGTAGGACACTCGATCCAGCAGAGTTGGTGGCATGAAACTCACCATGTCACTCAATTAGCAACATAAAATCAAGCAAGACAGCGAAGTGGCAAAATTAGACTTGAATGCTTGTCTGCATCAATCTTTCGACAGAGGTATAATGAGTCTAATGTTCTAAAGCCATCATCATCATAAGTTAGATGACAAATCATAGACCAAGAATGTTTGCCTTCAAATACTACAAAAGAACTATGTTTTCCCATGAGAGTAAGAATCCAAAGCGTAGTACTCTTTAGGAAAAGATAATTATCATAACTGCTTATCAAAGACCTAGAAAAGTAATGTCTCTCATCATCTCATCATTACCCCAGTGCCGCAAAGACTCCCACCTACGGTGGGGTAAGGGAGAAAAGTAATGTCTCTATATTTAAAAAAAAAGGTACCTTCAGCAAGTGTCTTCTTCCAGGCACAATAGTCAAAACTACATTGCCCTCAACCACAAATATGAACCTGATTGACAATAGTAGTTGTGTGAGAGTGGAGAACATAATTGGAAGTTTTTTTTCTGAGAAGCATGCTCTGAAATAACATTATAAAAGTTTCACACCTTTCAACGCCCATAGGAGGAAGCGCGGATGTTGAATTTTCTGGAAACGAAAAAAAATGGGGAAGAAGGCGGGTTGCAGAACACTTGCATCAAAGCAAGTTAAAGTTGTTTCTCAAGTTGAAATACAAAACAACTACTAGTGAAAAAACTGAAAATTCAAACAAACCATTTCTAGTAAAAAAACTCAAACCTTGCATTTTTGCCAAGTACATAACAAAATGTGATCCCATTTCAGGTGTGACTAAATATGCTGCGAGGGTGTTTGTCCTGTGGTGGTAATATTACAGCTGTTCAGGAAACAAATGAAGCAGAACATTGTAAGGAATCAATAGATTGCTCGAATTTGTTGGATGGGCATACCAATCTGGTAAAGGGCTGAACACATGACTTTCAGGAGCAACTAAAGCATGATCTCTTTTATACACACTCCTTGTAAACCCTGGCAAGTCTGTGTATAAATGTATATAATACATAAAGATTTTGGATCAGATAAAAAGTCTCCTTAGTCCTGAAAAGTAAGAACAAATTGGTGCATCGAATCTAAGATCTAATGACTTTAAATATGTCAAAATGCATTAAAGTGGATTAAAACGCGGTGGCATGTTTGTAAATAAATCAAAGTTTTTCTTCATTGTAAAAAGTGATATTCCTGTGTACAAAAGTGTACCATAAATGACCAAAAGTGGATGACGAAAATCATTTGAATGCAATAGTGCACTTCGACAATCAAAAGTGGAGACGCCCGCACTTCGTATGGGAAGACCACTTTTTATTGGAACAGGATCATATACTCCGTATATATAAGGGGCGGATCAAGTACAAACAGTGCTTATTGTGCAAATATTTGTACGATGCATCTTTACGCTATTTGTATTGCATATTAACGTTCAAAGTGTTGCATATTATTCTGCAATACAATAAGCAATTGCATATTAACATTCAAAGTGTTGCATCCTAAAAAAGTTTGATTTTATTACCAAAATCTCACCGTTCATCTATAGCCTTTAGATCAACTTATCGGATGACCAAAATGAGTTTGTAGTTTGTAAGTTAGGAGGCGTTTGTATTTGATCCTTTATATATGGAGAGAGGAATATTCAGGTATGTCTGAACTGACGGGAATCGCCGCTCAACCAAGCCTGTTTGAGGACCTTCCAGGTTGCATATTTTGATGAAATTTTGTGAACATGTTCTTCATGGGTAGAACATGCACACAAAATTTTAGCTTAAAATTCGATCGGGAAGTCAGTTAAATAAATTGTTGAAAATCACTACATTTTTATGCATATTTTTGTGCAATAAGTTTCAATAATTTATTTAACTGACTTCTCGATTGAATTTTAAGTTGAAATTTTGTAGAGATAATCTACACTTCATGAAAAACATACTCACAAAATTTCATCAAAAAATCCACCAGAAAGCCCCTCAAATGACGTCAACTGAACGACGGTTCTGGTCAGTCTAGACTAACGGGAATTACTCTCTCTATATATATATATGAGAGAAAAGTTCAAGTCCGGAAGTCTGGACCAGATTCTCCGGCCGGCCGCCGCCTTTTCAGGTGGTTACCGATGGAATATTTTGATGAATTATTTTTAGCATGCTCTTCATGAAGTGAGATTATGTCCACCAATCAGCTAAACATTCAATCGGGAAGTCAGTTAATATTTTTTTTTAAATAACTGTTTTTTGAAGTATATTTTGGCGTAGTTATCTTCAAATATTTATTTAACTAACTTCTCGGTTGAATTTTGAGCTGAAATTTGGTGAGCATAAACTAGACTTGATGAAGAACGTGCCAAAAAAAATCATCAAAAAAATTAACCGGGAAGGGCCCCAATTGGCCTCAACCGGACGGCGGTTCCGGAAGATTATTCATATATATATATATATATATATATATATATATATTAAAGAGAGAGGAATGATCATGTCCAGCCAGAGGGACAGGACCCTCCGTCCAGGCACTTAAATAAATTATTGAAACATACTGTGCCAAACTATATATATAAAAGTGCATTATATTTAAATAATTTATTTAGCTGTCTTCCCGATGGAACTTTTATCTGATTTTTTTTTTTTGATAAACTAGACTTGATGAAGAAAATGGTCAAAAAATTCATCAAAAAATTTCACCTGGAACCGCCCCAAATGGCCGCAGCCGGACGGAGCATACTGTTGGAAGGATGGACAGGATATTTTTTCTATATGTATGTATGTATGTATAAAATAAGTTTTTAGCTCTTTATCTAAAAACTGTTTTAGATACGTCTCACTGTTTTGTTTATTTGTGTGTGGACAGCATTTTATAAAGGTTGAGAATGGTGAACTGCATAAATATCCATGCAAAAAACAGCTGAGGCTTATAGTACATTTTTCCTGACAAAATCTTAATTTTAGATTCAAGTGGTGGGCGCACTGACCTTGGAGGCGAGAAGGAGAAAGTGTAGGGTTAGTGACTTTCCAATACAGTGGTCTAGAGCCGGAATCAAAACTCAAGATTGGTGGTGCAGAACAAAACCCGCCTTCTACGGCATATCCAATTTTATGAAAACCTGAAAGAACATTCGTATTATAAGCATAAAATTTACTATATCCAATTACGGAGCTGAAATAATGCAGTAAGAGAAACAAGTGAATGCTGCGATTGAAGAAACATTTATTTACTTAGAGTTATCGAGAGACGAAGAACAAATAGAAGAAAGGATTGCATCTTTGGGAGTTCTCTAACTCTTCACTTGCTGATACTCGATTTTTGCGTCTCTGCAGCCTCTGCTCAACAACAGATAGTTTTCCGGGTGAGTGAGGGAATTTTTTAAAGGGGTGGGCGCGGTCCGGAAAGATCCTGTAAATTAGTAAAAAGTGTAATGTATTTGTGGGATTTTTAACGGTCTGGTACGGTCCGGTTTCAATGATGGAACCATTCGGTACCATGTTATTTCGGAACGGTACAAAACGGTACGATATAATGCCAAATACATGCTAAAAATGTTGAACAAATAAACAAATAGTGTAACACAACTAAGAAAGAGTATATCAAAATGATGGCGCACGAGATAAATTTCATCCTTAATTTACTTAGTTTATGTGAAAATATAAAAAAGAATATCATCAAATTGTTGAATATAATAGAAATCATCAACGTTCTTCTTCGTCATTCTAGGTTAAATATTACTCTGTAGTTCTAATTTAATTTATAGTTGAACATTGAGAGCTAAGATTTAAACCATATTAATTAAGTTGTAAAATTGCACAAACATGATACAACAAAAAGTCATGTACGCTAACATTACTAGAAATGAAGTCATTAATGATTTCTCTAAAATTTTAATATTCTTTCAATACATACCAAAATATAACATAAATTATCTAAAAAGAAAAAATAACAATATATATATATATATTATAAACACACACATTTAGCTATTTTAAGGACGCAAAAAATACATACTTGGTCTATAAAATTGTTGGTCTATCAAAGAGATTTATTGAATTGGTATAGAAAAATAAAAAAAATTCAAGTGCATTATTTTCAAAAAAATCCGGTCCGGTATTTTTCGGTTCTCGAAATCTAGGAATGGTCCCGTACTCGTTTCAAATGGTACGGTTTCGGTATGGGACAAAAATATATAGAATCGTTTAAATACCCGGTATTCGGTTCGGTACCATTACGGGACGGTTCAGTACCGGTTCAGTTCGAGTAAAATTGAATAAAAGAGGCATTTTTCTAATTTTATTCTTAAGTTTGAATAATATGTATTTTTTTACTAAATTACGAAAATCAATTTTCACTTTTTTTTTTGCGGTTTGTAACTTACTTTTAGGTATCATAAATTTTCATCTAAATAAATAAGTTTGTAATACTAACTTTGATCCATTGATCATGAAAAACATGTCGCTTAAAAGTTAAAACAAATTATTACCAGTGCTACGTACTCAAACGGTCAAACATGTTATGAAAAAACATGTCTTTAAAGTAAGTTTCTAATACTAACTTTGATCTATAATTTTCACGTCAAAGAATTACTAGTGTTGTGTAATAGTTTTTCAAACCAATGTAGCCCCTTATTAAAACAATGTCACTCTTGTTCGTGAATTGTCATTTATGTAAATGTTTTGTCTTATTTCAAATGTTTTTAATTACGAATACTTTATTTTGCATTATACACATGCACTAATTTTTAACGATGTCAAGTCATATTTGCCATTTTTTGCACCTTTGGTTTTATCATGTTTCAATGTATGTACTTACTTTATGGTTCAGATATGAAAATGAAAAACCGGAAAATGAAAAATTAGAAAGTGAAAACATAAAACAAAAAAAACATAAAATTGGAGAAATAAGTAAACGGGTACATAGATTCCCGGGTGGGTCAAATGCAAAACACGAGTTATTCTTTTAAACTAGATTTTTGTTTATATGTCTAATCATGTTATTAGATGGTGGTGGGAACCTAATGAATAGTTCGAAAGACTCGGATTTAAATCTCTCAAGATCTTGGGTGAGATCTTGAAATCACGCAAGGGATTAGTTCGGCGAAGTCGGAATCACCTCGTACTAACAAAAAAACAAGATAATTACCCTAGGTATGAGTAAAACTCATCCACTTTCCCAATCTATGACTTAGTTAGCTTTTTCCCATTATAATATGTAAATTCGTAATAATTAATTAGTTAATAAATTAATAAATTAATCAATAATTAATATGGACTAATATACCCTTAGCCTATTATTATTATAAAACCCTAATGAGAGAAAAGCAAACGATGGCGAGAGGGGCAACTAGATTCATCGACGGCAATTGACTGAGGGCTTCAACCCTCAGGGATGGACGAAGATGGCTATGCGAGGATCCGGCAGGCCGCAGGCCAACGGCGGTCGGCGGATGTTAGTCGCAGCGAGAGACTGACTATTTGTGGATCCCCATCGCAAGAGTACTATGGAAAAATTGAGACGACTCTGCGGTCACCATGGAGGATTCTCATCGCGCACCTCCCCTGTAATTACCTTTCTCAAACGGGGGACAACATCCTTATTTCAATTTTTCAATTTTGACCGTCTTTGAGCGGAGGAAGCAACTTGGAGTTATGGTGAGATGGGCGATTCTCCAAAACGTAGGCATCCAAAATGCTATTGAATAATTTTTATTTGTTGCAATAGTTTTTATTTGATTATGGCACAAGGTTCACAGCCATTCATATTCACAGACTTATCCAAGTCGATGCCACTCCATTCTAATTCTTCCTTCTCTATTTTTAAAATTAGGGTTTGTGGGCATTAAACATGGGCAGCGAACATAGATGGTGAGCATGCTCAGTGAACATGACAATAAATATGGTTGAATATGGGGAGTGAATATGGCAATATATAATGTTGTACATGTGCATTGAATGAATGAATTGACGAAGTGTGTTGTGTAGTGAATTGAAGACAATAGATCGTATCATAACCCTGGGGGAAAGTGCAGTGATTATGACGTAATGTAGAACAGTAACGTCGGCATTAAATGCAATATATTTAATTAAACATAAAAATACTAAAATTAGTAAATCTAAAAAATTTAAAATTAAAAGAATTATCAATAAATTCCTAAAGAGGATGAGAAGAGAACTAATGTTGGCGGAAGTGCAGTGATATGTTATCGGATGTGCAGTAATGTCGTGCAGTAACTGCCGTATAAGGTGCAATATTTTTAATCGGACGAAAATAGTGTAAAAGACACATTTTTTAAGCAAGGGTATTTTGGTCTAATATGAACGAATTTTTCTTTTTCTTTTTGATTTTCAGTCATACAAATGTCTAAAAACATAATTAGTCTTACTTAGAGAATCTCAATATCTTTTAGTCATATCTTGGGAAATTTCCCCCAAAAAAAAAACTTGTCATGATATATGCAAATATTCCGGTACATATTTGTATTTATAGAATTGTTATTGTTATCTATATCTATAAGATGAAATTTTTATTTGCTTATGTAGGGATGTTTTTAAGTGGACTAAAATTTTCGAATATTGTCTATTTATATGTGGTCAAATCCGGTCTACTCAAATCTAGTGTATTGAAATCTCTTCAATTATATATTATAATTATTTTTATTAATTGAAAAAATTCCAATTATATTATTATTATTATTATTATTATTATTATTATTATTATTAATTTCTTATAATTCATGTAATTCTTATTGTTTAATAGGTCTCATCATTAAATGTGTGTTTGGGGCGAGAATAGCATGGTGACAAACCTTTTTACTTTATTATATTGTATTGCATTGCATTGCATTGCATTGCATTGCATTGCATTGCATTGCATTGCATTGCATTGCATTGTATTGTATAGTATTGTATTGTATTGTATTGTATTGTATTGTATTGTATTGTATTGTATTGTATTGTATTGTATTGTATTGTATTGTATTGTATTGTATTGTATTGTATTGTATTGTATTGTATTGTATTGTATTGTATTGTATTGTATTGTATTGTATTGTATTGTATTGTATTGTATTGTATTGTATTGTATTGTATTGTATTGTATTGTATTGTATTGTATTGTATTGTATTGTATTGTATTGTATTGTATTGTATTGTATTGTATTGTATTGTATTGTATTGTATTGTATTGTATTGTATTGTATTGTATTGTATTGTATTGTATTGTATTGTATTGTATTGTATTGTATTGTATTGTATTGTATTGTATTGTATTGTATTGTATTGTATTGTATTGTATTGTATTGTATTGTATTGTATTGTATTGTATTGTATTGTATTGTATTGTATTGTATTGTATTGTATTGTATTGTATTGTATTGTATTGTATTGTATTGTATTGTATTGTATTGTATTGTATTGTATTGTATTGTATTGTATTGTATTGTATTGTATTGTATTGTATTGTATTGTATTATATTATATTATATTATATTATATTATATTATATTATATTATATTATATTATATTATATTATATTATATTATATTATATTATATTATATTATATTATATTATATTATATTATATTATATTATATTATATTATATTATATTATATTATATTATATTATATTATATTATATTATATTATATTATATTATATTATATTATATTATATTATTATAGATGGATGGTTCCCTTCAGCTTCCCCCACTTTGAAAAAAAGCAAAATTCACAAGAATAATCCCTACTTTTATGGATTTTACAATAATAATCTCTATTGAGAATGTTCATAAAAACATTCCGCACTATCAATAGTGACCACAAGAATAAATTGGAGTAAATTCAAACTAATGCTCATTTAGTACTCCCAACCCCTACCTCCGATCCACCTTCTCATTCACCACTCTTCTTCTTGGTTAACACTTTTATGTTACAACCTAAAGATTACCACATATGGTGGAAATGATGTTGAGATTAAACGGTCAACATTCTCGCCTGCAACCTTTAGCAGATTACACTCTGCTAAATCTCTTTTCTCCATTATCTCTTCAATTCATGTGCTCAACATTCTCGCCTGCAACCTTTAGCGGTCAAAGAATCATGGTTGCTCTGCTACAAACCCTCATCCCTTAACAAAAATGGTAGACAACAAGAGAGATGGGCACTCTAGTCCTGTCATGCCAAAGTTTTCATGTTTGGAGTTTCTTGTGTTCACTGGTAAGGAGGATTCGCTCAGTTGGCTTCACCGATGCGAACCGTTCTTCTATAACCAAAATACCCAAGAAGTGACAAGGTTTCCTTAGCAGCATACCACTTGACTGGAGAGATGCAACTCTGGTCTTACAATTTAGATTTCAGGAATCCCAACTTGGCATGGCACCGCTTCAAACACTTT